CCCGCCGCCAGCCCAGCAAACCCGCACGCCGAGGCAGCGTCGCTCTCTATGGCTCCGGAGGAGGTAACGAGAGTAAGGGCTTGTTGTACTGGCCGCATCCCTGGCCCCCGTATCCAGCAGCAGCCAGGCGACAGGGCTGGGTTTGGGGGGCAGGTTAAGGGTGTGCACCAGTAACTGCTGCGTTTGTTATTAGCAATCCCGGGGTAGCCTAGGAAGTAGCCTGGCGTGTGAGCTTGATGTCCTTAATCCTTTCAGTAGTTAGGAACTGGCTCTCCCTGCATAACTGTGCATGTTCCACTCCTACTTCTACCGCTCTTGATGCGGTCAAAACAGCTGTAACTTAACCCCCCAGACTTCCAGGTCATTTGAAAATATAAGAAATGTTAAACACATCCAGTGCGTTAGCTTTATAATGTTCTGGCTACACCCGACTAATGAAGAAATGCTAATTAATTTACATACTAGGAAATTGTCTCGTGGGAGGTGGGAACCACACCCCATTGCACCTGGTTCCTCGAGATTTGTCATCAGATTCTAGGGAACCGCTATAAATCATGTAAAGTGGTTGCCTGAGATTATGCTAGTGAGATCTGTGGCATTATGAATCCAGGTGCTGAATTTAAATTTTCTACTAGGAAAAGATAAAGCATTGAAGTTCAGGTCAGATCCAAAGTAACTCATTTCATTTAAGGCTAAGCTGCAGTTATTTACTGTAATTCTGAAGCAAGCACTCTGATAAAAATACAGGTAATCTTTTTAGGGTTGGTAATACTGGGTACATTTTTAAACTGTGATATTTCTCAGAGCCTCAAAAGTGGGTAACTAAGGATTATGTCTTCCACTTAAATTCATCCTTTTATTTTGACACTTCTCAATGATAAAAAGAGAATCATTGCGGGCTATATTAAATTTCTCTGTCAAAATTGTGGAAAGTAGGCATGCAAAATCATGTTCTCCAAGCTATATCATGACTGAAAACTTGACTAGAAAAGCTGTAGCTCCTAGTAAAATGATTGACTTTCTTTTTCTCTTTAAAAAGAACAGTCTATATCAAATGTATATAGACTCCCTCAATCCTCTGAATCACTCTTTTAGTCTATATCAAATGTATATCGACTCCCTCAATCCTCTGAATCACTCTTTTAAAATTGTAATAAACTTCATTTTCTGTGGATTTTTTTACTTCTTCTCCAAGTGAAACACTTTTAAATAGTTTTTGGTTCATGAGAATGAAATGAGATTAGCCAATATTTTATTACTTTTTTTTTTTTTTAAACGGGATTGAATGTGACCACTATTTATAGAAATGCTTTATCAATATGACTGATATTGATTCACTAACTGGGCAATTTGATATAGATTCATATAATTCTAGCAAAGCATGTTTTTCATGTTGTAGTAACTTTAAAATGGAAAAAATGTAGATTTTTGTAGTTGTGACAGCAGCTAAGCTATGCATTTTATTAGTCATACTTACAGATTTAAACAACTGATTTGTGTCATTACATATGCAAATAATTATATTAAGTTAATATTATCAATCTATAATTGAATAATTATGATTCCTATATTTAAATCTCATGGCAAGAAACGGTAAGAGTAGCATAAAATGCAATTGTGCAAAAATCCTGATGTCCCTTCTGTAAGGACAAATTGTTATGGTTTGCAGGTTGACTTCAATTACTATTTTGCTTTACTTGAGTCATAATGACTGAAGGAAGGGGGACTGTTATAATGGCAGTGGTGAACTTTCATAACTTGCATGTTTAATGAAGAGAGGCTGTTGTAAATTAGTGAAAGGGAGGCTTCTATTAAAATATTTGAAAAATCCAGGTAAGTTAGAACTAACAAAAATAATCACAAATGATCTTACTATTGGACACCCTAGTCTTAAAACCAAAAATGGTTGCACTAATTGTCTCATCAGAATTCAGCACTAGAACTAAAGCATGAAGAAATCAAAACCAACCATACAAGATTTATAAAGAGGTCAAAATATTAAAAAAAAAATTGTAAACTGTGGGCTTTCCGTCATACCCAGTCACTCAAGAATTGACTCAGTACAGGATATATATAATCAAATATATAGCCATGCATAGGAGTTAATAACAAGAAGGGTTTTTTTAAATTTTTTTAATAAGCCAGTCATCAAGGCCTGGAATCAAGTATAGATGGGGGGGGGGGGGAGGAGAAAGCTGGGGTCAAACCGCTTTATTGATGACTTAGTTAGCTTGAATATTTGCAGAGGCAATTGGAAGGCAGTTTTTCTTCTTAAAAGCATGATTCTGCTACCTGTATCAATGGCATGCTCAAAATTGTCACTAACAATGGAACATCCCAGATGTTCAAAGCATACATTTAAGTGGTGAGCAACTTTGATAATAACAGTTTTTATGTTTGGTTGGGGTTTATAGAAATAGGGAGGTTAGCACCACAGTTAATTTTTAGATTTTGGATATGTCAAAATGTCTTCCATTATATGTTAACTAATTAAAAAAATTATCAATAATACTCTTTCACTGATATAAAAGCTGGTGTTTTGCCTTAATACATTGCTGGATGTGGCAGGAAAGCTCTGAAAAAGAAATATGATGATGCCAGAGCTACCATCACAGTTTACGATTAGTATCCATATAAAGCTGAATTAGAATATATGATGGGCTACTGAAGCCTGGATCAAATTATGTTGGAAATCATAATTTGCTTCCATTTTGATCAGAATGGGAAATCACAAAGAAGGTACAAGCATCATTCTTTTCGTCTCAGACTATATTGACACTGTTGGTTTAGTGATTCCAGGGCTCAGTGCCTTGAATAAATGACAGTCCCATATGGTTGCAACAGGTTGAGTGTTACTTTTCTTAAAAGCGTTAGTACTCCCTGCTTCTTGGTGACACCTGGTTTAAAAGGAGCGGGGCAGAGCTGGCTGACAGCAGAATTTGCTCTGCATGCTATAAGTGACCTATATTTCACTATTTGACTACTGGTTCATATCTGGGTAATGTGAGCATGCCCTCCTTACTGTCTAATAGCTTGTTTTTCAATCACATGATATTCTCTAGTCCTTGGCATCATAAAACTGTTTAACAGAATGTCTGGAGATATCAGAGGGATATTACACCCATACATTTTAAAAGTGGTTGCTATGAAATATTTACATGTCAGTATAAGTCTAGAGTGTACAATGCTGACAGCATAGGCCTGTACGAATGAGCAATTCACTATCCAGTTGCTATTCTTGTTTTATACATGTCTCTCTATCTTGTGCTTCGGAAAGGTCGTGGTGCTTTTGGGTTCAAAACAAGTTGGTCAAAACTGGGAGGAGTTACATAGTCTTTAGGAGTGGAATGAGAGAGGTTGTCAATTACAGGCTAGTGGTGGGTAGTAGTAATTTAGGGACATAAAACCATACTGAGAGATGCGCACACACAAAGACCTAGGAAATTAGAGACTTGTAGATATTCTTTCACTGTTGATTGGTGGAATGGTAATTTTCTTATGAACCTGTCTGAGAGGCAATACCATTCCAGGCATTAGTTTGTTCAGTAAAATCTCCAGCCTCTGTTTGAATCTTTTCTTCAAATCAAGAGAGTAAGTTAGCTTTGAAAATATAAAAGGATATGAACAAATCACTAGGGGTTAAAGCTTGGAGTTGCTCTTTTCCTAAACATCATGGGTAATTAACAGTCATTCAGGTTTAGGATTTAGTCTCCAGAAAAAAACATAACTCCAGGTTTTTGGGGTTATAGGTTGGTATATTTTTGTGGGAGGAAGAGAAATTAGAATAGTGTGAAGGCCACATTCCAAATTTATGGTTGCAATGAGTGTCTCTCAAACTATTGCTGAAGCTCCATAATAGCTGGCTGCCTGAGTCACTGCCTCTGTTGAGCACCCATCATAGCCTGTGATCACAAGGAAGGGCAACTTGGTAGTATGAAAGCTGATGTGGTCTAGTGGACTAATCCAAGGACTGAAAGCAAGGAACTAATCCCAGCTCAGACACAGACTGTATCTGTGGCCTTTGTAAAGTCACATCAGCCAGGTATTTCAAGTTTGTGTGCCCCTCCTCTCCCCTCCCCCCAAAAAAAGTTAGGCACCCAAAGAGGAGATGGAATATGCACATCCCAAGTTCACCCTTATGTCTACTCTCTCTACAATGTTTTTCTATCACATTCACTAGCCATTTTAGAGCTGGCTGGGAAATATGTTTAGTTCTTATGAAAAAGTAATTAAAACGTTTATCTTTCATCAAGATTTTTCATCAAAAGTTTTAAAGATTCAGGTTTTAATTGAGAACCCCAGACTAGCTTGTTCATTTTTGTCCAAAAATTAATTGAAAACAGATTTCCAAGTTGATAAAAGCCATTTTTCATATAAAAAAAAATTTGAAATGAAAAATTTTGACCTGCTCTTATTAGTCCCTCTTTGTACTTTTGCCACTATCACACTATATTCTCAGTGCTCACTTTTGACCCAAAGGTTGAGAGGAGATGCAGGAACATCTAGCATTGGCCACTGTTGGAAGATATTATACTTTGCTAAATAAACTTTTGGTCCAACCCAGAATGGCTGTTTTATTTTTTTTCCTTATAGCAGCTCACAGTTTTAATCAGTGATTGCCTGCCTGTGCGCATGAGGTTGCACTTCTTCTAGGATCACCATTTACAGAGACCAGAATCTTGTACTTTGTATGGATCTGACACTGATCTTGTCAACATTTGAAACTTTTACTAGTATAACAGTTTTTGGTTAAGTATATTTGGTTTTTATTCCTATAGCTGTGACTGTGGAAGTCCCAGTATAAACCGGTAAAACTTTACTTATGCCAATACAAGTTATATCAGTTTGCTGATAGTAAATGTTTTGCTGGTGTATTGACTAAGAATGTGCAAAGAACCCCTCATGCCTATGCTTGACAGAGTTAGGTCAACCTAAGTCCTACTATAGATAGTTGTAGTGGCAAAGTCTGTTAGCTGGTGTAGCTTATTTTGTTTGGGAACTGGAGTAAGCTACATCATTGAAAGAACTTTTTGCGGGTAGAAACTATATCTTCAGTGGGAAGTTTTGCCAGGATGGTTGTACCAGTAAACTGTTTCCATTGCAAATTGTGATATCAGCAAAGCCTTCTACATGTAGACTGTACCTCTGTGTAGGAGAGAATTGTCATAAAGATTGCTTGTTGAGAGGCTTCCTTGGGGCAAAAGGACAGCATAATTTATTCTAGATGTGGGGTAGTCCTTGAAGTGTTGACCCATCCTATTGTTTGTTTTAACCAGCTCAGCTGGCCTGTGGCTACCTCAGGTGACAGTTCTCCTAGTACTGACAAAAACCATGAGACAGCACTCTGGTTTTTTAACTGACAGGGACAGCCCTAAAAAAGGAAGTAATTGAGCTTCTAACAACAACAAAAGGACTGTAATTAAAATCTGCTACTATACGGAATTCTGGGAAATGACAGTTCAGTAAGCAATATATTTGTACCCGGTAAATTGGATGAAATAATAATTTAAAAATAGAAAATCATGGTACAGTAGCAATTAATAGACATGGCTTCTGCAATAGAAAATTGTCCCTTAGCAATCTGTTAGAATTCCTTGTCAGGTCAATAAAATAGTGGATAGAAAAAGAACCAGTTGACATTTGTTTGGAGTTCTAAAAAAGGCCTTTGACAAAGTCTCTCATGAGAATCTACTAAAGAAACAAAGTAGTCATTGTGAGGTGCAGGGATAAAATGCTATAATAGATCC